CTCTGCCCTGTTTACATCATAGAAACTTCTGAAATTTAAAGTTACTATTAGCTTCACCAAATCAATACCATTTCTTTTTTTATTTTTTATTTTTATTTTTTGGTCATTTTGAGACAGGATCTCCCTGTAGCCCCAGCTGCCCTGGAACACACTATGTAGATCATATTGGCCTCAAACTTACAGGACTCTACCTGCTTCTGCCTCCCAAGTGCTCGGATTAAATGTGTGTGCCACCACACCTTGCCAATTTTTAAAAAAATATTTTAATTTTTTATGTTTATTTTTTGTGTATGAGTGTATTGCCTGCATGAGTGTAAGTGCACCCATGTCATGCAATGCCCATGGAGGTCAGAAGAGGGTGTCAGATCCCTAGAAGTGGAATTATGGATGGTTAATTAGTGGCCATGTGGGTGCTGAGAACTGAACCTCTGTCGTCGGCAAGAGCAGTCAGTGCTCTTAACCACTGAGCAATCCTTCCAGCCCCTCATTTCCTCTTCTTTAAAAGAATTAACTGTGCACCTGAATGAATAGGACTCAGCATGTATGCAGAGTGCATAGGGTTTAGTGAGGGGATAGGGGGAGGCATGGATTGGGAGGGGGTCTGGATTTGAGTGGGAAATGTATGAAAACATTTAAAACTCAATAAAAAAGAGTTAACTGTGGGGGCTGGAGAGATGGCTCAGTGGTTAAGAGCACTGAGTGGTCTTGCCAAGGATCTGGGTTCAGTTCCCATCCTACATGTGGCAACTAACAACCATCCATAGCTCCAGTTTCAAGGAATGCAATGCCTTATTCTGGCCTCCATGGGTAGTACATGACATGGATGCACTTATATGCAGGCAAAACACTCATTCTCATAAAATAAAAATGAACAAAATTGTTTTTAAAACATTAAATGTGGGAATCCTCCCATCAACTTACTCTCCTTAACTTCAAGAATATTTTTTGAGATAGATGATTCAGTGATTAAGAGTGCTTGCTGCTCTCATAAAGGACTGGAGTTCAGGTCCTAGCATCTACGTTGGGCAGCTCACAACCACCTGTGACTCAACTCCAGGGGATCGGACACCCTACTCTAACCTCTGAGGGCACTGGCATATAGATGCACATGCAGACACACAGACACAGAAACATACACATAAAAATAAAATAAGATTTTAGGCTGGAGAGATGGTGCAGTGGTTAAGAGCACTGGTTGCTCTTGTAGAGGACCTGGGTTCGATTCCCAGCACCCACATGGCGGCTAACAACAGTCTATAACTCCAGTTCTCAGGGATCTGATGCCCTCTTCTGACCTCCAAGGGCATTGCACGACACGGGTGCACTTACACACATGCAGGCAATACACTCATACACATAAAATAAAAATAAAAAATAAACAAAACTTGTAAAGAATAAAATAAAAATTTAAAGAATACTTTCAAGAATATCATAATGTGCCAGGCATGGTGGTACATGTCTTTAATCCTAGCACTTGGGAGGCAGAGGCAGGAACATATGTCATCTTGAGGCCAGCCTGGTCTATATAGAGAATTCTAGGCCAGCCAGGGATACATAGAGAGACCCTGTCAAAAAAAATGATATTACCTAACTTTTAAACCTTTGACCTCTTTAAGGTTTAGTCCATTTTGCCTTTCATTAAGTTATCTTTTTTGTTATTATTTTTATTTTATGTGTATGAGTGTATTGCCTGCATGTATGTGAGTGCACCCATGCCGTGCAATGCCATGGAGGTCAGAAGAGGGCGTCGGATTCCCCTGGAACTGGAGTTAAGGACAGTCCGTAGCTGCCATGTGGGTGCTGCAAATCGAACCCGGGTCCTCTGCAAGAGCAATCAGTGCTCTTAACCACTGAGCCATCTCTCCAGCCCCCAAAGATTTTTTTTTAAATCAGATTGGATCTTCACACTGTATTATATACTTCCCCAACCATATAGAATTTAGAATTAAACAAACAATGGTTTGTTTGCTTGCTTGTTTGTTCATTTTGACATAGTTTCATGTTTTCCAGTCTGGCTTCCAACTAGCTAAGTAGCTAAGGATGACCTCAAATCTCTAATCTTCCCACCTTCACCTCCAAAGTGATAAAATTGCAGATACATGCCATAATGCCTGGTTATGTGATGCTGAGTATCCAATCTAGGGCTTTGTGCCTGCTAGGTAAGAGTTCTACCAAATGAACTACACCCTCAGCCCAACAACTTTTAAAATGATGCAGTATTATATGGAAATGACTTTAGCATAAATAGGAGAGGAAAAAAAAGGTCAGATAAAAAAC